TTGAGTCCTTGTAAATATTCTTTTAATTGTTCTTCAAATTTTTTAATTTTTTCTTTTGTTTTATCAGCTTCTTATTTAACTGGACCACTGATATCCTTTTCAACAGTTTATGATATTTTTAATAAGTTCTTCCATTCTTCTTACATTTTATTAACTTTTTTAATTTCAGTTTCTTTTTTCATATCATGTTTTTCTAATGTTTTTAATATTTATTCATTTTCATCTAACAATAAAAGAATATTTTCTTTTTCATCTGAAATTTTTTTAAGATTTTCCATAACTTCTAATAGACTATTTACATCTTCTTATATATTTTTATCTTTAATATTAATATTATCTCTAGATGTATCAATAAGTTTATTGATTTCTTCATTTTTATGAGTGACATAATTAACTAATTATGGACCTGTATACTGATTATTTTTTGGTCCAAGATTTTCTAAAAATTATGCTTTTTTAGGAGCACCTCTAATTTCATTATATTCTCCTCTTTCATTCTTTAATTTAACATTAACAATGACTTCACATGGTTCATCAATTTAATATTTAACTGTATATGATCCATCATCATTATCATTAATTGAATATTTAATGTTAGCTTTTTCTTCTAACAATTACAATTTACTTTTTTCTTAAGGTACATCTTCTTCAACTTCTTCATATTCTGACTCTTAATTTTCACCTTCTTCTCCTTCTTATTATATTTTAACTTTTTTTCTTCTAACAATTCTTTTTTTATTTTATTCTTATTCAATTCTTTCTCTTTCTTCTGGATCCATTTATTCTAATTATTATAATCTAATAGCTTCTCTTTATTTTTCTTCTTCTAATTCAGCCATAATATCTGGTCTAGTAATTTCAATATAGAATTCATCTGCACCACTTTCTCTATTTTAATTATTCAAATTTCTAGTTTAAATATAAAACATAGTTTCATTTTTTATAGCATTTTCTCTTAGAACTCCAGGTCCAAACATTAAAGTTTTATCAGCTTTAGAATTTAAGAAGTATGAGTAGAATTGACTCATAATAGTAAAATCTTATCTATCAATACTAACTTTAACTTCAGATTTTCTAGCTCCATGTTTTTCATATGATGGTGTTTCACAAGTTAATTCAGTTGGACTAATAAATACTCCTGGAACATCTTCTTAAGCTTTACCAGAAAAGAATCTAACAACAATATTTTATGAATCTTTAAATCCATCTCCTAAGATTGTAACTTTAGTTCTTCCAGTTAATGGACCTAAACATGGTTTAATAGAATAGATAGCATATGGAGGTCCAACAATAGATGACACATTTAATGCATACATATCATTCATCCATGCATTAGACCATCCTCCAAACATTAATATTCTAGAATCTTATGGATCATAAATTAATGTAGTTGATTCTCTTGTTTTAGGTTTAACTGGTTTTTCTTCTTCTAATTAAACAGGTGACCATTTCTTAGCATCTACATCCAATACAAATGTATCATCTACTAATCTACTTGCTGTTCTATTTCCACCTTCTTCAAAATTTCCAACTTATCCTCCAAAAATGAAATACTTCCATGACGGAATAGATGGTACCATAATACCAGCCATATTCCATTTTGGTATTTCATGTGATATTTCTGGATCTACCCAACTATTATTATTTATGTCATATATAATGACATTTTAAAATTATGATATTTGATTCCATCCGCCAAAAATCATTAACAAATCATTCTATCCCATTATTTAAGAATTATGACCTCCTCTTGGATCAGGTGGTGTACCACTTGGTTCTAGTTATGACCATTCAAAGCTTTCACAATCTAATACATACAAATCATTAAATGATTTTGTTGCATATCCTACACCTCCATGTCCCCCAAATACATATACTTTGTTCTTATGAAATGTTGCTGAATGATTTCCTCTAGGTTCTGGTGCACCTATTTTTGATTCAGCATTTTTAGGTTCACCAGTTACTTTTTAATTAGGTGGCTAAGCCCATTAAAAATTACTCGTTCTTAAGATGAATGTATCATTAAAACGTAAATTTGATGTGTAAAATCCACCAAATATAAGCATCTTATCTGGAGCTATAGCACATGCTGCATGATTTGTTCTTGGCAATGGTGGATCACCTGAACATTATACTAACTTCCATTCACAAACATTTGGTGCTACTCTTAATGAATATACTTATAAGTTAATTATATTCTTTACCTTAATTATTCGGTGCTATCTTTGTATTTTTCTTTTCGGCATCTGGCTTTTTCTCACTATCTAATCCTCCAAAAAGAATGTGAGTTCTACCAACAGTTACAAAAGTATGTCCTGATCTAGATGCTGGAATTTGTCCAGACTGCTTTACCTATACCCAAACTAATGGTTGTGGCTATAAAAAGATATGATAATATATATACCATCTGTAATTTTTTAACAAAAAATTAATAATACGATACTATTCCTATTCATTTAACTTAAATATCTATTATAGTAATTATATTTGTTATATAACTTTAAAAATTCAAAATTTTTTTGGTATTTTGCCTTTCTTTTCATGGTATTCATCACTAGAAGTCATTGGAGAATGATAACCTGCTTCGCTAACCTATTTTTAATATTAATTACCTCCCTTTTTGAAATCTTGCATATTTATTATTTTTCTTAGTTCTTCGAAAATGATATTCTTTTTTTTCTTCTGCACTTCCTTCATTAAAACCTTATTTTGATGTTCCCATACTTTAAACTGGTTGTAATATCTCCTAAACAAAATATGATGTTTTGCTGCTTTATGAAAATATTCTATCTTATTGATTAATCTTTCCTTTTTTCTACATATTTCCATTCAATTTAATATTCTTCATATTTAAATATCCTTCCCATCCTTTTATCACATTTCCAAAATGACCTGTCTCTTCCAAATACTTTGTTTCTTCATCAAAAATACTCTTCTCTAAATTTTTAAGTTCATTTTCCAATATCCCTTTCTTTTCTACTAACTCTTTGTATTTCTTGTCCATTTATATATATATATATATATAATTATATAAATTATGAATCATTATTTTCTTATATTTCTCATTCTAAATAATATAATTGAAGATAGTTTCTTTAGTTCATCCATCTATTCTACACTAAAACTATTCAAATCTAATATCCAATTTTATAATTTTCTTAAATCTTCAATTGTAGGAATCTCTTCATGAATTTCAAATGCTGGCAAAGTTCTTTATGTACTTATTCTATGTGATAATTAAGATTCTGGATGTCCAAAATTACCTGTCTAAAAATATATATTTATATTTTATACCTATACTAATTATGTTTGTCTATCAATGTTTTACTATTATTATAATTAATAAAGCATTTCCCTGTTTTCCTTACTCTATCTAATATCTTTATTCTCCTTAACTCCACAAACTTATTATAATTGACTCTTTGTTTTCACCAGCTATTGTAATTGATTTTCCAACTCATTAAGTGCATTCTTTTTATTTGATAATGCTTGACCTACTTATTAACTACTTCCTAATGTGCTTTTTATATAATCAGACATCTTTCTTGTACTATTTTGATGTCTGTTTTCTTTAGAATTCGATTGTCTCATTTTAACGAATAAATTTTTACTTAACTTATATATAATTTTTTATCGTATACTAATTTAAGAACTATTAGATTTAATATTTTAGCAACTTTAAAAAATATTGAAGTATTTTTATTTTTTAACAAATATTAATATTTATTTATGCAAGCATCAAACCTTATTAACCACTAATAATGATGAGGAAATAATTGAATTATTTTATTAAGTTTATAAAATTAAATTAATTAAGAAATGATTAAATATATATACTATTTAATGAAATAAAATAATTAATAGGAAAATATTCTGTATATTTAATTCTTCAGAAATAAGAAAAGAAATAAATAACGAATAAATTTCAATAAAAGATGTCAAATTGAAATTAATTTATCTGTTTATTAGTTATAATATAATAATTTTAGCAATGTGATATCAAACTATCATAATAGTGCTCACTTTACTATATCCAATCATATTCTATTTTAGAAAATCATTTTTGATAATAACCTTAGTTTGATTTGATGAAAGGAAGCATGAATTAATTTTCTGTTTAATTTATTCTTCATTATCATTTGGTAATATTTTTAGAAGTGGTAATGATGTATTTTTGTTATTAGGAGTAGAGGTAGTGTAATTTGAATGAGGTTTGTTTCTGTATTTGATATTAATATTTTCTAATTATGTATTGATTCTAGCTGCCTATAATATTGGAGGTAATGGTTATGAAATTTAATCACTATAATCTTCTGTTTTATGAGTTTATCTTTTAGACTTCTTTTTATAATATTTTAATTGTCCTCCATAACAGATTACATATTTTTTATTGAGAATCTAATTTTTATTCATTGATATTAAATTATAATAAATTAATCATGTATGAAGATTATGATTTCTCATAAGATGAAAAATGGAATCAATTTATTGAATAGGCTGATTAATCAATGTAGAATATAGAGTATATACATATTTAGATCGAAGGAGAGATTGGAATATTTAAAATAAATTTGGTATAAAGAAAATGTGAATAAAAAACATAAAATAGATAATAATAAAATATCAAATGTTAAAGAGGAATCTAAATTACCATATTATATATATAGTACTGAAAATATATTCAAAATGTCATTTATGCTTTTGTTATTCATGTAAGGTGTAGCATAGATATTTGGATATCTTTTCAATTTTTTAGCTTTGTAAAGATAAATAAGAAATACAAAAATCTAATAAAAAAGATAATATGTAAATCTCTTAATAAATAATGAATTCTTTCATAATTTGGTATTTTTATTCTTATTTCATTTTTTTGAAAGAATGCACAATATATTAGTTTATAGTCCAATTCTTATGCATTCTTGGGTTGGAATATCAGAATTTCTGTTTCTTCATCACAAATCAATTTATGAAAGTAGCAAATTTTTATAATATATAGTATAGAAATGTAAAGCTATATTGATAAAACTAAATAAAATAAGGAACTCATTTTGATACAAAAATAAAAGGTGGAAATAATTTTATTTCCTGTTCTTTTGATTGCTAAACTTTTCTTTGAAACTGGTAATTGGGTTTTAATAATTATATATCTCATTTTTCTTAAAATGAAATACCATAATAATAATAGATCGAAAGTTGCTTGGATTTAAATTGATTATTATATTGAATCCAAATTACCATTATTTGTTGTGCCTACTTATAGATAAATGAGATAAATAGCTATACATTTATTTTTGGATTGATATATATTAATTATAAATTATAATGTTGTTCAAGAAATCAATTTTTTAATATTCATTTCTGACTGCCCCTATTGATAACATCATAACAAATTCAATCATAAATGCAAATGTGGTATTATATTAGATAAACATTGTTATTATTAGAAAACTATTTCTCAATTCCAATTTATGCATTAACATCATTTTTTATAAATAAGATTACATATAATCTAGTTCATAAATATATGTATGTTCCTAATAGTATCAATAATTTCACACATAAATATGATTTAATGAATGGAAAATAATTGACTGCTTCTTTAGCTACAGTATTTATACTCATTATTATTTAATAGTTATATATGTTCACAAATTAACTTAGAGCTGTTGTTTATTGGAATAGTTTACATTAATATCAATAATTTGGAATAGAAATGACATCATATGATCCTTATTTTATAATGCCTTTAATTTTTGGATTTGTTAATTATGGTTTAATAAAAACTAGTCAACTTAAGACATTTTAAACTATATAAAAAGATTTAAATCAATTTAAATTAATTAATCTATGTTTTATGTCTTCTTTGGCTGTTGTTGGATTACCTATAGTAAAACTAATTATAAATTTAGGATATTCTTATGATATTTTCAATTATGGGATGTTGTTAAACACTTATATAGTATAAAGAATAAAAAAAAATATAAAAAATCTTAAGGAACTCACAAATTTTGATTTGATATGATAATTGAAGTGAAATTGAATAATAAATATAATATTTGCATGTGTTAAATAATAAAAATTAAAAAATGCCTTTAACCGTGATATTATTTATTTTAATAATTTTTGTATTTGGTATCTATAAATTTACTAATAATAAATGGGATACAAAATTACTCTTGTTCTAATTTTAAAAAGTCAGAATTTGGATTATTTTAATATAAGTTTAAACGTTTTAAGTACTAATTAAAAATAAATGAAATAGAAATAAGAAATGATAAACAATATATATAAGGTATTAAAAGAATCATAAAATAAATAAAGCATGATTTATGAATAATACTCATCATTATTATTATGATTAATCATTATTCTTTTCTTTCACTTCCCCAACAAAAAAGTGATTCAAAAAATGAAGGTTTCTTTTATTCTTATTATTATTAAGTTTATTATTTTGATAATTATTAAGTCTATAATTAGTNCATTTATTTTTGGATTGATATATATTAATTATAAATTATAATGTTGTTCAAGAAATCAATTTTTTAATATTCATTTCTGACTGCCCCTATTGATAACATCATAACAAATTCAATCATAAATGCAAATGTGGTATTATATTAGATAAACATTGTTATTATTAGAAAACTATTTCTCAATTCCAATTTATGCATTAACATCATTTTTTATAAATAAGATTACATATAATCTAGTTCATAAATATATGTATGTTCCTAATAGTATCAATAATTTCACACATAAATATGATTTAATGAATGGAAAATAATTGACTGCTTCTTTAGCTACAGTATTTATACTCATTATTATTTAATAGTTATATATGTTCACAAATTAACTTAGAGCTGTTGTTTATTGGAATAGTTTACATTAATATCAATAATTTGGAATAGAAATGACATCATATGATCCTTATTTTATAATGCCTTTAATTTTTGGATTTGTTAATTATGGTTTAATAAAAACTAGTCAACTTAAGACATTTTAAACTATATAAAAAGATTTAAATCAATTTAAATTAATTAATCTATGTTTTATGTCTTCTTTGGCTGTTGTTGGATTACCTATAGTAAAACTAATTATAAATTTAGGATATTCTTATGATATTTTCAATTATGGGATGTTGTTAAACACTTATATAGTATAAAGAATAAAAAAAAATATAAAAAATCTTAAGGAACTCACAAATTTTGATTTGATATGATAATTGAAGTGAAATTGAATAATAAATATAATATTTGCATGTGTTAAATAATAAAAATTAAAAAATGCCTTTAACCGTGATATTATTTATTTTAATAATTTTTGTATTTGGTATCTATAAATTTACTAATAATAAATGGGATACAAAATTACTCTTGTTCTAATTTTAAAAAGTCAGAATTTGGATTATTTTAATATAAGTTTAAACGTTTTAAGTACTAATTAAAAATAAATGAAATAGAAATAAGAAATGATAAACAATATATATAAGGTATTAAAAGAATCATAAAATAAATAAAGCATGATTTATGAATAATACTCATCATTATTATTATGATTAATCATTATTCTTTTCTTTCACTTCCCCAACAAAAAAGTGATTCAAAAAATGAAGGTTTCTTTTATTCTTATTATTATTAAGTTTATTATTTTGATAATTATTAAGTCTATAATTAGTTTGTTAATGCATTTTATTAATAATTTTATAGTGTTTAGGATTTCTCCAATACTTTAATATTAATATCAATATCTGTCATATATGATAATTAACCAGTCCATTCATCTGCTTCTTTAATAGTTGATACTCTGAATTACTATTGTACTGTATTTTAATCATTTACCTAATTTAAGATTTCAATTCATTACTATTATTGTAAACATTCTATTACATTATTCAATTCCTGAAATTGATTTCAATTCTATATTTTAATATTCTTCAGTATCAACAAACTCCCAAAATAACTCACGTTCTTTCAATGTAAGAATTACGTTTTTCCATTAAGTTCCATTAATTCTTTTTTCAACTTAATTCTCTAAAATTATTTTTCCTTTTAAATTAATTATTCTTCTTCTACTATCTTACATTTTATAGACAGGAATTTAATTAGTTCTACTTACTTAAACAGGCATGCTATTATTTATTTGTTAACATTTAACTATATAATCATGTAATTTCTTTGCATCATTTAAATATGGAAAGATAAATTCAAATATTCTACCATTATGCATAAAAATAATTTAATATTCATTTGTTACAACAAACTGTAAACTTTATATTTAATATAATTCTATTGTTGTTTCTATAATATTAAATCATATTGTTATTACTTGTTAATGTTGCTAAATTATTCTCATATTTTAATAAATTTATTGTATCTAATGTATATTATTAAGGAATAAACTTAATGAATTAATGTATTTAATCTAAAGATTCAATACTTATTGAAGTGAATAACAATAACCATCTCTTCTTTTTTACTAAAGGATTCTTTATTGACTTTTTTTCTACTAAAAATCTCATTATAAACTCTTTGTTCTTATATTTAAATTATTATTACTTTTTCGCCCATAGCTTCTATTGTCTATTAAATGTATGAGGATTTCATTAATGCATTCTATGTATCTTATGTTTATTATTAAATGAGACCTTACAAAATCTCTTCTCTTCTCAAATATAATTAAATTATTTATTATTTAGGAATTTCATGCCTTCAATTAAATATTATATTCTACCATTTAACTTTATTCATTGATGATAATTCAGACTTTGTTTTTGATGTTTAATTAAATGGTACTTTTAAAATATCTAGCTGAATATCAGTTTTTTATAATTACCCATTTCTCTTTTATTTCTTTATTTTCTGCTTTCAATTAAAATTTTCTTAAACCAACATGAATAACAAATTCATTTTTATTTGGATCTAAATAATCTATTTAAACTATATTCTATTTCATAATTACTCCTTAATATAAAATATTATATAATACCTTTTGGTTGATAAGGAGGTAAATCAACTTTATTTTTAAAATATAAAATTAGATTCTCACAATAAACAAAATACCTCTTTTGCCATCCTTTAATTAAAACAGGACTTTTTTTTTCTAAGAAACTTTCCATAAAAAATAAATAGTTGATATTATAAATAATTCTGATATTATAAATTATTTAAAATAAATCATAAATTTATATTTAGATTAAGAACTCTTAAATATTCCTAACCTAAATGTCTTCTCCCTTGATAAGTACCCAAAAAATCTTTTATTCCTTCATAACCCATATCTGTTTCATCAAATTTACCTAAAAATAAATATTTAATTAAAACCCTCTTTAGTATTCAGTGCAGGATCAGTGAAAAATTGGCCAATACCCTAAATATCACATATCATGTAATTATAACTTGATTAAAAATATGAATAGATTGAAAATGCCTATGCAAAATGATTTATTTCCATTGCACTATCATTTAGTATAAATGCTCCATTATTATTGTATTTTATGAATTCACCAATGAAATAACGTTCAGCAACCCAGAAGGAATCTATTTAAATAAATTTAATACCAGATTTTGATGAATCTTACAATACTAAAAAATTAGAATATTGAATATTTAAAATATTTATTTTCTTATCTGTATCCATATTAGCTTTCTCCATATCTTTGATAAATTTTTATAGAAAACATTTAGCAATTAGATGAGATCTACAATCCTTAATAGCTTCTTCTTTAGATTTATAAGTTTGATCTCCTAATGGCATTTTGATTGCATATAATTCTGTAGGAGTATCCTCTTTCTTCATTAAAAATACTTATTTTACAGAACCTTCGGCAAATGGATTTACTGTTCTTATACATTTCCAAATACCAGGTTCCTCAAATGTTTAAAAATCAGTATCAAGTTTAAGTTATTTTATATCGCTAATGTTTTTTTCTAATGATTATTTTAATAATTCAACTCTATAAACTTTAAAAGAAATAGGGACTGTAGGTATTTTTGGATCTTTATCAAAATTAACAATATCAGTAGTATTTTTACATAGATTTTCCATTGCACTAACAATTTCCTATTTTTTTTAATTTTTTCTATTATTAATTTTAGAAGCTGAATTATTAATTTAAGTTAATGATTAAGTTGCATTAGATATTAAATTAATAAATAAGTTGGAAAGTTTTGAAATTTCGACACTTTCAGCATTTTCTATAATTAATAATTCAGTTTTTCCTTTGGCTTAGTAGATCTAATTAATTAAAAAGTTTTTATACCTTTTTAATTTCTTCAAACATAATTTAAGTGGTTTTTTGAAATTGAATAGCCAGTAAAAATATATTTTTTTCAATTAATAAATTAATAGCATCTTCTATATCTTCTTTAGGATATCTATCACTTACACCTCCATTATATCTTTAACCATGAGTTGGAGCATCACATATTAATATTGCTAATTTAAATTGTTTAATCCATTCTAATTATACCATTTATTTTATCCCTCCTCTAATATCCTCTGCTGCATCTCCTCCACCTTAACAAACTAATTAATCTAAAAATTTTTCAACATTATTTAAATTATCAGTAAATTATAATTCTTTATATTTTCCTCCTAACGTTTTCAACTCACTAAAATCTTAATACCCAACTACACTCCATCGAGTCTCTTTTTATGTATATTTTTTTATTTATTCAATACTACCTTTAATACACTACCTAGCTTATTCTTTATAAGGATCCATTGATCCCGTTATATCAACCAAAAAACAAATTTCTATTATTCCATGAGATTTTTATATCTACTAAAACATTTCTAATCCTTTAATTATCAAATTTACCTTTAAATACTTTCTTTTTTTCCTCTATTTCTCTTTATTCTTTATCTTTCAATTATTTAGCTATAATCAACTATTCTTGCCTTCTTTATTCCTATTATTCCAATTATTTTTGTCGCTCTTCTTCTTCTTCAATTTTTTTATTCACTTCCCTTTTATTTATATTATTTTAAGCTATATACTTTTCTTCAGTTTTTCCTCCACTAGGATAATATTATGTGGCTTCTTCTCCTGATGCTTATCTTTCTACTTTTTTTTATGGTTTATTTTATGCTTCTTTTTATGCATCTTTTTATGCTTCTTTTTATGGTTCTTTTAACTCTATCTGTAATTTATCTATTTAAAATTTTAAATTATTATTTTCTGTTATTTTTTCTGATATTTCTTTTAATTTTTCTTCTATTAATAATTCTTTATTTTTTAAATCTTTTTAATATTTTAAAAAATATTCTCTTTGCTCCTTCTTCCATTTCTCTTCAATATTTTTAGTAAATTCATTGAATCTGCTATTAAGTTCTATATTTTTGTCTTCAATTGCCTTTTTAAGCCTCTCTTCTACTCTACTTTTATAATCTTTTATTTAATATTCTATGTCGTATTGTTCAACTATTTGACCTTTAGACTAGTCAATTTGAGGATTTTTCATCTAAAATTACCTAAAATCTCAATAAATTTACCTGATACGGTCAGCTTCTAACATTTGTACGATTTCGGCTTGGTTTTTATATTTTAAGCTAAGTTCTTCCTATAACTTAATGAAATTTGCTATTCTAATATTAGCCTCGTCTAACTCATTCCTATGAACCTTAATATTATAATACTTTAGATCCTCATTTTGCTTTTTGAAAAAAGTTAATTCTTTTTCTAATTAATTTACTCTTCGTTTAACCAACACTATGTCATTATCATCATCTTGCAAATTTTAAGTATTCATTTGATAAAAAATATTTATAGAATAAAATTTATATTATTGATATGTCTATCTAAAATTCAATAAATAATCTGATAAATTACAATCTTATTATTATTATATATTTCAATCATTAATTACCGTTCTGAAGAAAATTAAGTTTCAGATTTTCTACATTAATAGGTTGTAATATATTTCAATTTCTATTATTACTCTTCAAACAAAGCAATTTCATTCTAAAATTAAACCAATAATAAATTTCCAATTTAATTCATTTTATTAGATTTACTTTCCTAAAACATATCATATGGAGTCTTTATTTTAGTTTTTTTATCTGTTTTAAAATTCCACAAAATTAATTCTACTGTATGGATTAATATTGTGGAATTTGATTCAATCATATAACTATTAATTTAAAATTAGGTTTAATATAAGATATACTGATATTAAAAAGAACGAAATACTTTTAATCCCATTTTGTCTAAGTTTAACACAACAAAGAAATTAGAATGATATGGAAATATTACTTCTAATCCTTTTATTTTTGATCTAGTAATTCTTTTAAATAAACTTGTTAGTGAGAATGAATTGATACGTTGATAGTTTCCATTCCATTAAAATTTATAAGAACATAATTATAGATTATCTGATATTTTGTAATCCTGGATAGATATATATGGATCAGGATCTTATTTTAACTTATACCTATTTTTATAAATCCATCTTCTTTTATTAAAAATCATATACTCAATCCAAAAATATCCATAACTTCTTGTAATCATAGCTAAAATTGTTCCTTTAAAGTTAATTTATAATGATAACAATTTATCACTTAATTTTTGAGATATAATTAAATCCCATATATTTCCATTTCTCTAATAATGTTTAAGTATATTATTAATTTATAAGACAAGTATTGTAGAACAATCAAAATTCATGGAAATTTGACATAATCTAGGATATATATCAAAGGATTGAATTTATGTGAATTTATTTCTGAATTTTTCATAATTATCTTACATAATTATAATAAGAAAAATAATCAAAAAATTCTTGCTTTTATTTTTTTATCAATCAATCCTTTAACTGCATTACAATCATAAAACTTTTCTGCAAATGAGGATTATTATGATTCAGTGTTCAAATTTTTAGACATGTAAGATCTAATAAAACAAAATCATACTTATTAAAAGATGATCTATATTATCCTTCAAAACTTTGTTTAGTACTAAACAATCTTGGACTAACAGGCCTAATCAATTTTGATGGAACTGAATAGTGAGATTAATAAAAATGTTATGAAGTTGTTTCTTTTATTAAAGATTAGGCATTCTCATAAAAGGGACCTCTAGATGTTTAAATAAAAATACAATTTTATGTGTTTTTATAATTCTACTTTTTCAGTTTTTATTTCTTTAAAATTTTTAGAATAATTAGTTTCTGCTATAAAAGGTAAGGTTGATTATTATTTAGGGGATAATTATTAAGTTATTTTACCAGGATATTAACCTTTCCAATTCATAAAATTTGAATTATATGTTGATAAAAATGTTGATTAATTTAAATTTGGGTTGTACTCTGGTTTAAAACTATCAACTTTTTCATTAGATTAAGGTACAAATTATTACTTAAATATAAGAATTAAACAATAATACATTATAAACACTTTTTTTCTGTAAATAAGTCAAGTTTGAAGCATAATATTATTCATATGCTTTAGTTTAATTCAATAACGGTTGATCAGGGTTATGTTTAGATCCTGAATAATCTCTTGAATATTAAGTAACTTATTTTTTAGGTTGATAATATTTTATTTCATTAAAATTAATATTCTTTGTTTATTAATCCTGTTGAGTTAATTCTAATTTGCATAAACAAACTTTAAGTAAACCTTAAAAATATTCTTAATTATTATTGACAACTTCTTCTATGGTTTAATTTTGTTCCACTAATTCTTTCCAAATTTCATGTTCAATTGGAAATATTTCAATTATAGCTTAATATAAAGTCTTGTTATTATTATCTACAAATTATTAGTCAGATGAGTTTATTTATGGAAATTATATAGCATTCATTTTTTTATCATCTTAAATAGAATTATTAAGTGAAAGCAATAATTAATTTTCTTATGGAAAATATGACTATTTTACATCATTATGTTCATCTCTTGTGATTAGGTTATTTTTTATTTTCAATACTTTCCTTTTAATTGGAGATGAATTTCTTGATAATTCTTTGGAATTCACTTATTTATTTGTAGAAAATAAAGAATTATTGGTTCTTGAAAAGTCGTTATTTTACAATATTCTTTTGACTTCATCACTAATGATCATTATTTTTAATGAAAGGAAATATATTTATTTATATAATTTATTTATATCTGTCTATATAATATAAATGTATCATAATAAATCATATGAATAAGACGATAACGAGATAATTGCAAATATATATAATGTAAGCAAATAGTGTTTTAATATTATTTTTTAATTGGATGAAAAATAAATCAGGATAGGTGTAACTAAATAACAAGCAAATAATGAAAGTAGGCGGAAGAGGTGTTCTTGATACTTCTGCCACTAAAACAAAAAAGAAGGAATTCGAAATTTAACAAATAGATCAGTCATTGGAAAATAAAATTTAGATGGCATAAGCTAATTAATAAAAGAAGAAAGATGTTGCTGCCAAAAAGATATATAGATTTTTATATAAAATATATAAATAGTATTATTAGTATAATAATATATAGAACAGAGAAATAACATAGATATAGAAAATTTGTAATTGATGAACTTATAAATACAGAAAGAAATTATGTACATGATCTAAGAATTCTAATAGTAATATAAAGTAAAGTAAGACAATGGTTAAATAAACAATAAATTGAAATAATATTTAATAATCTACAATAATTGTATGATTTAAATAGCCCTTTTCTTTAAGATTTAGAAGGATTTCTTCCATATAAGAGGTACAAATTATTAGGACCAATAATTAAAGGATTGGCCCCTTTTTTTAAAGTTTATTTTACATATTATGAGGGATTTAATAAATCTATGGCAACCCTTAAATAATGTATTAATGATAAAGAGGATTTTAAAAAATTCCTTAAAAACATTTCTGAAATTAAAGACTACAATAATTAGGATATTGAGAGTTATTTAATTAAGCCAGTTTAAAGAATACCAAAATACAATTTATTGCTAGAAGACTTACTAAAACATACGGAAAAAACGCATCCTGATTATAAAAATTTATCTGAATGCTTGGAATTATTTAAAAAAATTAATGATGATAATAACAAAAATATGGATATATTTTTATCAAGTAAACTATTTGATGTAGAAAAATGGTTTGGAAATAAACTCAACTAGAAATTAGTGGATTCAAAAAGAAAATATATTACTGAAATATTAACTTCAACTTTAGATTCCCATAATAATGTTATTAATGTAACAGCTTTTATTCTTAGTGATTTAATCATTGTTGGAGAAAGATAAGACAACCAATATTAATATATCTAAAGTGTATTTTTAGATGAAAGAAGTGGATGCTTAGATGTTGAAAATTAATAACATCTCTAAAATATTTATATTATATAAGGAATTAATGGTTAATCGATAACATTTATAGAGTAAACATATTAAGATAAAATTGAAAAAATGGCTAAATTACAAAAAATTATTTAAGAATGCAAAGAAAAATCTAAATATACATTTTAAAGACTAGCATCACGTTAAGGATCTGAAATTAAGTTTTAATAGTATAAAATAAAAGTAACAGCTTTGGGTATAGATGAAAGATGTGAAAATTTAAGTAGCTATAAAGTTTATATAATTGAAGTAGGAATTGATGAAGTTTTTTAGAAATTATTTTTAAGATTTAGTTAATGTATGAAGATTTAAGATTATATTAAAAAGAAATATCCAAAAACTTAGTTTCATTTTTTAAAATAAAGTACAACTATAAGTTTGTTAAATGATTAAAAGGAAATTGAATCAAGAATGATTGGAATTCCACTTTTTGTTTAATCAATTCTTTTATCTGAAATACCAAGATTAGATCCATAAATATTTAAAGATTTAGGTCTACCTGAGAATTTTTATGATTTGCCTACTAAAGCTAATGAGTTTAGAAATTAAAGAAATGGAACTTAAAAAGGTCCAGATAGATTTAGTTATGTTTCTCCAACTAGAACATTAATTAAAACAGTAGATTATGGAAATGATTAATAATCTATTGAGAATAATTAATGCAATAGAAGATTATTAAGTGCTTCCTCTTTAATTAGTAGAAATATTACATTAGTAGAAGAAAAGAAAAAGAAAAAAGAGAAGGATGCAATATAAATAATTGTGAATCATGCTATTCCAAAAGATAAACCTTGGGAATTCAATATTCAAAATAATACTAAAGTTTTACATGTTTTAGATCAGATTTAAAAGATATTATAATTACAAGAGATTTATGACTTTAAATTATACATATTTGATAATAAATCTAGAGTGAAAATATTACAAAATGATGAAAATATATGTGATTTATTTGGAGATAGTTTTATTTTTGCTAAAAAAAAAAAAGAACTTTGGTTTAAGAAGATTATATATCAAGATTTGGAATAAGAGAAAACTTTATTATATTCTGATAATACTAGAATGAAATTATTATATTATCAATTAGTAAGGGATATTTAAATATCTTCATTGACATTTCCAACTCAAAATTAATATATAAAATTAGCTGCTATTCATATATATTTATAAAATTGTAATCCCTCATATGATGTTATTTAATAAATAATACCATCCACTATTTTATAACTTAAATAAAGAGAGTATTGGAATTGTGTTGTTGCCTAAGAATTTAAAGATTTTAAAAGTAGTATAGATAATACATAATCTACAATGATAGAAATAAATGAACCTGAAGATATTTCTAAATTTAAATCTAAAAGAATCTTTTCATCAATGATATAATCTAATCAAACTTAATTCTCTAAAATTGATAATGTTGATTTTGATTAAACAAAACCAATGATTTAATTTATTTCAGAATGTTTGAAAAACGAATTCTGCATTTAATAATTATTTCATGTAGTTTGTAAAGAAGCATTGTCATAATTTGGAGAATCAAATTTAGTATTGGGTATTAGTTATTAAGGAATTAGGCTTTATAGTAGTTCTAAAGATAGAATATGGGAAAAGATTGATTAAACTTAATCTTTTAATGTTTTTCCAGGATCTATTGAAATTGTATTCAAGGGTAAAAAAATTAAATTTGAAACCAATTAAGGATTTCAAATCTAATCATTATTTGATGAATATTCAGCAATTAAATCTTAGAATTAGGAATGATATGTTATTTTACATAACCTTATTATATTATTATTTATATTTTTATGATTATATTCGATTCATAAATGAAGCAAAATGAAAATATCGAAGATGAATCTGAAGATAAGTATGAAGTAAAAAGGGATATTTTAGATGTTTATATGTACCATTATTTCCTATGAGAAAGAAACCATCCATAGGATCTAGTTAAATATCTTCTCAATCTACATCATAATCAACATAAATGCTTTCTTAATTTAGAAGCATGTAAGATTCTAATGAGAAAAGAGAATTGGAAGCAGCAATAATAAAAGAACTTATGAAAGATAAGGGATCAACATAATTCTATGCTGTTCGAGATAATTGGATAACATAATATAAATTATATTTGTATCAAAATGGTGAAAGACCAGGTATTTTAGATAATACTAATTGTACATAATACATAATAGTAAATGAGGCTGTCTGGATATTTTTTAAATAAGAATATAAAGCTCATCCAGATATCATTTGTAAATAAAAACATTCAAGAACTAATGATAAAAGATCTAAAACAGTTGAACCAATTATAAATCGCTAATCTGCTTCTACATCTCAGTCTACTTATGAATTGCCACTTATTGGAATGAAAAATGACTCCTACTATTGTTATATGCATTCAGGATTATAATCCTTATTAAGTATTGCAGATCTTAATTACTTTATTATTAAATATATTCAAAGAATATCTAAATAATAATTATTAGATAAAAAATATTCTAATATACTTACATTTACCAAAGGTTATTTTGATTTGATTGATTAAATTAAACTTAATACTGTTCCTATTAAAATTAATACAATCAAAACATTAATTATTAATCAGTTCCATCCAAAAAATTAGCATGATTGTCATGAATTCTTACTTTATTTGTTAGGAAATATGGAAGATGAAATACTAAGTTTTAATAAAGAAACCAAATCAACATATATTAATTTTATTGAATAAATCTTTAAAGGTAGCAAACTTTATATTTAATAGGAAAACTTTAGACTACAATTCTATGTCAACAATGTAAAAATAAAGTCAAATAAATTGAACCATTTTTAACCTTATCTTTAGCCATCTCCCAATCCAAAACCCTAGAATAATGTTTAGAAGAATTTTTGAAAGAAGAGACACTTCGAGATTACAAATGTGCAAAATGTTAATCATTATGTGTAAAAAGCTTATAAATTGTATCTATTCCATAAATACTTGTATTGCATCTAAAAAGATTCTAATTTTTACCATAATGTCATAAAAACAACAAAGCAATAACATATCCTATTGATATTCTTAATTTTGCCAATCGAACATATAGGCTTAGAGCAGTTATTGTTCACACTGGCAATTTATAATCTGGTCATTACTTCACTTTTGCTAAAAGATACCATTAATGGTTTTTATTTAATGATGAAACTGTTAAAGCAGCCACCAGAAAACAAGTGCTTATGTAAACAGCATATATCCTCTTCTACTAAATTAATGAAAATCCATGATTTTGATTTATTTTTAAATTTATGTATATATGGATTGTAAATGATTTATTATCAATTATCTTTAATATATTTCTATCCATTAAAAATTGTTATGTTTTTGGATCATTGAAAAATTTATGAGGAATTGTTTTTATTTAATTATTTCAAATATTCTAAAATATGTTCAGAAAAATAAAATAATCCAACTAAAATAAACAATTCGGAAATCTATTCCTGCGACAACCAAGATATTTATTATAATTATATATTTAAACAATATTATATATAAT